ATATATTTTTGTCAAATTTTTATGATATCGTCAAACATATATTTTATTCAAAAATAAAAACATCATCGCTTTCTCAAAATCAAATAAAGCCATATTATAACATCGACTGAGATAAATAATAAAATAAAATATTAAAAACACGATGTATCTCGCTGCATTGCGCGAGTACGCTTCTAGTTCTCTTTAAAGTTAAAAATTGACATAATCATTTTCCTGTTTCAAATTAATTCCATTTATTCTCAAGATTTTATTTTTATTGTTTTCATCAATTTGTTAACCAAATAATTTTATTATTTTTAAAATAGAAATAAAACAAAATGGACATAATAAATAAATATATTAAGCATTAACACCTTCAAGTAATAAATATAATAATTTAAGCATGTGCCCACCTGCCCTTAAAATATTCACCATGCTATCTTCTCTCTCATCTACAAGTTTTTGCGTTACTTCATATAATTATACATCATCTTGTTATAAAAAAAATAATACCATGTAATTAAACATATAATAATATTTTTGTCGTCAATATTAATATATCTAATACTTTGTAATGATAAAATGTCAATATCCATCGTATATTTAAACTCAGAATTTGGGTCAACAAAAGAATGTTTAACAATTATGAAAATAATTATGTTATTTATTCATAAATCAATCATAATTAAACTTTCTTTGTTTTTATTTTCTTCTAAGGGGTGTTTGAGATTGTTTATAAAAACAACTTATTAATTTATTTCGGCGTGATACCGGTAATAAATATATTTGAGTGTTTGGATAAACAACTTATACCGGTATCAAACCGGTAATAAGGAGTTTTTAAAGAACTTAAATCCTTTTAACTTATAATAAGTTGATAAGTGTTTTTATAGAAAAGTATAAGTTATCTCAAATAAGCAATCCCGAACACCCCTAAATAGACTTTTTTTTTTGTAAGTTTATTAATTCATTTTAAATTTTGTTTTTCTGGTATAAATCTTTTGATTAAAGAATATATTGGATCCTATATTCGCATATATTATTTAATTATGTTTAAAAGTATTTGTTTATATTTGTCAACTTTTTGCTTTGGAAAAAGTCTTGGCCCCGATGCATTATATAAATATATTACCCTTCATCATGATCTCAACACGCTCAACCTAAACAATGTCATCTCTTGCACCACCACCGGCCATCACCACCACCGCCCGCCGCGGAAAGACCTTCTCTTCCTCTTCCAGATACTCTTCTTCATTGTTTTTAAGATCATCTAAGGTTTCCACTGCCAGAAACCCAAACCATCGCCATGCAGTTTCATGCAAAACTCTAGATGATGACCACCATGAAGAATCCGGCAAGGTTGACCGGAGAAACGTCCTATTAGGTCTTGGAGGTCTTTATGGCGCTGCCGCCACATTTGGCTCAAATTCATTAGCATTTGCAGATCCGATCATGGCTCCCGACGTGGCAAAATGTGGTCCAGCTGACTTACCTCAGGGTGCTAAACCAACAAACTGTTGCCCTCCATCCACCTCAAAGATTATAGACTTCAAGCTTCCACCACCATCAAACAACCTCCGTGTCCGGCCGGCGGCTCATTTGGCCAATAAAGAGTACATAGCCAAATTCAATAGAGCCATCGAGCTTATGAAGGCCCTCCCAGATGACGATCCTCGTAGTTTCAAGCAACAAGCTGCCGTTCATTGTGCTTACTGCGATGGTGCCTATGATCAAGTCGGTTTCCCTGATCTCGAGCTTCAAGTTCATGGCTCATGGCTGTTTTTACCTTTCCATCGCCATTACTTGTACTTCTTCGAGAAAATTTGTGGCAAATTGATTGATGACCCAAATTTCGCAATCCCATTTTGGAACTGGGATGCACCTGATGGTATGAAAATCCCTGATATATACACAAACAAGAAATCTCCGTTATACGATCCTCTTCGCGATGCTAAGCACCAACCACCGTCTCTAGTGGATCTTGACTTCAATGGGGTCGATGAAAATCTTAGCCGATCAAAACAAGTGTCCACAAATCTTACAATTATGTACAGGCAAATGGTGTCTAGTGCAAAGACAGCTAGTCTTTTCATGGGTAGCCCCTATCGAGCAGGCGATGAGGCTAACCCTGGTGGTGGCACGCTTGAGAGCACACCACATGGTCCGGTGCATGTCTGGACCGGAGATAGCACCCAACCTAATGGTGAGAACATGGGTAACTTCTATTCTGCAGCTAGAGACCCAATCTTTTATGGACACCATGCAAATGTAGATAGAATGTGGTCCATCTGGAAAACCCTGGGGGGAAGAAGGCAAGATTTCACCGATAAGGATTGGCTCGACTCCTCCTTCTTGTTCTACAACGAGAACGCGGAGATGGTTCGAGTCAAGGTACGGGACTGTCTTGACTCCAAGAAACTTGGCTATGTTTATCAAGATGTAGAGACACCATGGCTAAACAGCAAACCCACCCCACGTCTGAAAAGGGTGTTGAGTAAAATCAAGAAACTGGGCGTGGCTCGAGCAGATGAACAGATGCCGCCCTTTGCAAAAGATGTTTTTCCGGCGAGTCTGGATAAGGTGATCAAAGTGCTGGTGCCAAGGCCAAAGAAATCGAGGAGTAAGAAACAGAAAGACGAAGAAGAAGAGATTCTGGTGATACAAGGGATTGAAGTGAAGAGAGACGTGTTTGTGAAGTTTGATGTGTTTGTGAACGATGAAGATGAAGGGATGAGTGGCGCCGATAAGACAGAGTTCGCCGGAAGTTTTGTGAATGTGCCTCATAAACATAAACATGGAAAGAATGTGAAGACAAAACTGAGGTTAGGGATAAGTGAGCTGTTGGAAGATCTGGATGTTGAAGATGATGACAACGTGATGGTGACGTTGGTGCCCAAAAATGGAGGTGGTGACATTTCCATTAAGGGGATCAAAATCGAGTTTGATTAATTCATTCATCACAGAAGCAATATGTTTTGCATTTTTCAATTGTCATTTTTTTTTTATCTGCGAATAAAAATATGATTTGTAGCCAACTGCGCCTTTATTTATATGCTCGTTAACTAATTTCATCCAAATCTAATGAAAAGTCTCCAATAATCTTGAAACAAACTCCAACATATAACCTTTATGAAGGAGAGCCAGAGCCAGAGCCCAAGGCCAAAGCTCTTAAAAGAAGCTTAACCACACTACTAAAAAAAAGGGCTTCACCCGACGGATTTTTCTAGTGGAAATTCCGTCGGAATATTACCGACGGATTTCCGACGGATACCAAAAAAGTCAACTTTTATCCATATCCGCCAAAGATCCCCCACAAATCCCCCACTGAATTTTTCGGAAAAAAAATTAAAATTATTTAAAACGGTTTTTCAACGGATTTGTGACAGATTTCTGACGGATTTTTTTACTTATTCTAAACCGTCACAAATCCGTCGCAAAATTTGTCTAATTTATTTAAATCAATTAATTAGAGTTAATTAAAAACAAATTCCGACAAATTTCCGACGGAATTTTTTTTTTTTAAATAAAATTCCGTCAGAAATCCGTCGGAAATATTTAAAAATGTTTTATTTTTATATTTCTTTTTAAATTAAAGTTAAGGAAAAAAAAATAAAAAAACACATTTTTTAAAATTTCCGACGGATTTCCGACGGAATTTTATTTTAAAAAAAAAAATTAAATTCCGTCGGAAATCCGTCAGAAATTTTTAAAAATATTTTATTTTTCTTTTTCTTTTTCTTTTTAAATTAAAGTTAACGAAAAAAAAACACATTTTTAAAAATTTCCAACGGATTTCCGACGGAATTTATTTATTTTTAAAAAAAAATTAAATTCCGTCGGAAATCCGTCGGAAATTTTAAAAATGTTTTTATTTTTCTTTTTAAATTAAAGTTAAGGAAAGAAAAATTAAAAAAAAAACATTTTTTAAAAATTTCCGACGGAATTTTATTTTTTTAAAAAAAATTAAATTCCGTCGGAAATCCGTCGGAAATTTTAAAAAATGTTTTTTTTATTTTTCTTTTTAAATTAAAGTTAAGAAAAAAAAATTAAAAACACATTTTTTTTATAAAATTTCCGACGGATTTCCGACGGAATGTAATTTTTATTTAAAAAAAATTAAATTCCGTCGGAAATATTAAACCGTTTTATATATGTACATGCATCTTGTTAGGAAAAAAAATAACACATTTTTATATATGTACATGCATCTCGTTCAATTGGGATTTAACGAGTACTCTTGGGTTCTATTTGCGCATTAACGGGTACTACTGGCTTTTATTCGGTTCAATTGCGCATTAACGGGTACTATTGGGTTCTATTTGGTTCAATCGAGCTTTAACGAGTATTATTGTGCTTTATTCGGTTCAATTGGATTATTGGGCTTTCACGGATACTATTTGGTCTTTAATGGATCTATTAGGTTTTCATTCATCATAGTGCACTTAAATGGAGCTATTGGGCTTTATTCGGTTCAACTGGACATTAACCGATACTGTTGGGCCTTATTCGGTTCAACTGGACATTAAC